TCTCTGATTATTCTTTTAATTTCTACTGAGTCTGTTGTAACTTCTCCTCTTTATGATCCTATTTATTTGTGTTTTCTCCAATTTTTTCTTTGTAAGTCCGGCTAGAGGTTTGTCTATTTTGTTTATATTTTTAAGAACCAATTTTTGGTTTTGTTGCTCTTTTGGGTTGTTTTTAACTTCTATTTTATTTCTGCTATGATTTTTATTATTTCCTTTCTTCTGCCAGGTTTTTGTTGTTGTTATTTTTTTTCTAGTTCTTTGAGATAGGACATTAGGTTGTTTCTATGTGTTCTTTCTTGTTTCTTGATGTGAGCCTATATTGTTATATTATTTCCTCTTATTATTGATTTTGCCATGTCCTATACATTCTGGAAAGTTGTGTTGTCATTGTCATTCAACTCAAGATATTTTTTAATTTCTTCTTTGATTTTCTCTTTAATCCAATGGTCTTCCAGTTGTGTGGGTTTCAATCTCCATGAAGTGGGAGGGTTCCTTGCTTTCTTTTTATGGTTTATTTGTAGTTTGATGCCTTTATGATCAGAGAAAATAGTTGGAATGATTTTGATCTTAATGTATCTGTTGATGTCTATCTTGTGGCCCAGTGTGTGATCAATTCTGGAGAATGATCCGTGCATATTTGAGAAAAATATGTACTAAGATTTTTTGGGGTGCAGTGTTTTATAGATGTCTGTTGAATCCATGAGGTCTAGGTCTTTATTTAGAGCTCTAGAGTCCTTTATTTTTTGTCTCATTGATCTGTCCATTGGTGAGAGTGGAGTATTGAAGTCTCCTTCTATTTATGTATTTTCTCTAATGTCTGTTTTCAAAGCTGATAATAATTGTCATAATATACTTTGGTACTCCTTCATTTGGTGAATATATGTTGATGAGCATTATATCTTCCTGATATATTTTCCCCTTGATCATAATGTAGTGTCCATATATGTCGCTTTTTACCTTTTTTAGTGTGAAGTCTTTTTCATCTGATATAAAGTATAGCTGTTGCTGCTTTCTTTTTTGGTCCATTTGCTTGTAGGATTGTTTTCCAACCTTTTACTTTCAGTATTTGTTTATATTTTGTAGTTAAATGTGTTTCCTGGAAACAGCAGAAGATTGGACTTTGTTTTTTAATCCAGACTGCTACTCTATGTCTTTCAATTGATGAGTTTAGTTCATTTACATTTAGAGTTAATATTGATATGTTGGCATCTGCATTTGCCATTTTGTTTGTCTTTTTGTGAGTTTATTCCTTGCCTTATTCTGTTCTTATTCATTCTTCTGTTGGTTTTGGCTTCAGGACTTCTGGTAGTATTTATTTTATGGAGTGGGGGTTTAGTAGTAATGAATTTCTGGATATTCTGTTTGTCTGAGAAGTCCTTATTTTTCCTTCATAGAGGAAGGAGAGCTTTGTGGGGTAAACTATTTTTGGTTGGCATTTGTTGACTTGCAGTTTGTTGAATATGTCACTCCATTCTCTTCTTGCCCATAGTGTTTCGTTGTAGATGTCTGATGCAGCCTGATTGGTTTTCCTTTGTATGTAATCTGTTTCTTTCCCCTCATCAACTTCATTATTTTTTCCTTGTCTTGCACTCTTGGAAGCTTCACTATTATGTGTCTTGCTGTAGTGTTCCTTTCATTGTGGTAATCTGGTGTTCTTCTAGCTTCCTGTATGTTTATTTTCATCTCATTCTTCATGCTTTGGAAGTTTTCTTTGATTATCTCCTTGAATAGTTTCTCATTCTCTTGTCTCTCTCTTCACTTTCTGGGATTCCTATAACTCTTATATTTCCTTTCCTCATCATATCAGATGGTTCTCAAAATGTTTCTTCATTCTTTTTCCTTTGTACTTCTGTTTTCTTTTCTTTTGGTTCTTTTTCTTTTTGTATCTTTGAGAGTAGTCATTCATTCTTCCATTTCATTAATTCTGTCTTTCTTGTTTTCACAAAGTTCTTTAGCCCCTCCATTAACTTTTTAATCTCTGTGTTTCCTTTATTTCCTTCTTTAAGGACTCAGCTTCATTCTTGTCATCATTAATTATATTTCTCATATTACTCTTTTTCTTTTTATTATTATGTTTTTTAATCTTGGCAATTTTAAATTCTCTATCTGGCAGGCAGAGAATTTCTTCCATTGTCATTATTGTTGAGTTCTGGTGGCTGATTTTCTTTTGTGGTGTATCCTTTCCTTGAGAACTTGCTTGGTTATTAGTATTTTCCCCTTCTCCCTATTGTTTTTTTTCTAATTTGTTCTATGTGTTGGGCCACTGTGCAACTGGTACTAATGAGCATCTCTTTGGGGTGCTCCTTCTGGGGTGTCAGGAACTGGTGGCCAGATCAAGTCTGGCACTGGTACACCAGACTCCACAAGGGTAGTGATACTGTGGATTTGTTGATGGGCACTGTCCCTGAAGATGCCCTCCCTTTGTTACTTACTCAGTTCCAAAAGGGACTCGTGTTGTCCCTGGCTTCCCACAACCCCATGGGCAGGCCCACACTTTCTTGGGACCTACAGTTCACCTTGATGGTGAAACCCTCCCATATTCTACTTAGTTCCAAAAGGGAGCACAGGGTCACCAGCAGCCTTCCTCAGGCATGTGCTTTCCTGCTCACCTTTGTTTGAGAGCCCTCCCACTCTCTACTCAGTTCCAGGAGGGGATGGTGAGGTCTCTGGCTTCTGAAAATGGTGTAGGGGCAGCACTTTCCTGGTACCCACAGTTCACCTTGATGGTAGAGACCTCCCTTTCTCGTCTCAGTTCTAGAGGGATTGTGGGGTCCTTGGCTTCTGACAATGGTGCAGGGACCCTCAAATTATTGTTTATATTAACTCCAGTATGACTTATAGCATGGCTACTCACTTTTGATTAATGCTTTGTTCTTGGTTACTTTTTTGACAGTGTGTTTGCGGGTATCACAAGGTTATTTATGGCTTTCCTAAACTTCCTCCTTCCTAGGACAGGCACCTATCATGCACTCAATACATTGCACAAGTCAATTACATATGCAAACCCTGTTCTGGAGTTGTCCCTTTATAATTAAGAAAAGTCTCTGATAAACCAGATCAGTGATTCTCAAAGTATGATCCTAATTTCCAGTGTTTTGAAATGGTTGTTGACAATTTTGCCAATTCCAGCCACTGTTTTTGGTAGCTGATTTTTTTTCAACTGTCCTAACTCTGCGGCCTCCCTGATGGCACAAGGGGTTAAGATGCAACCTATGAAGCTTTTCACAGCCACTGCAGCATGAGTTGGATCCCAAGCCAGGGAGATACCCACATGGCACAGCAGACATCCCCTGACTTGCCTGCTGCTCCCCTCAGCAGTGCACTTCAGTCAGTCTGCCTGTTCTGTTCCCCACTCTGTCTCTGGTGAATCCTCTCACCCTCCATACCTCTGGCCTGTACCCCAGTTCTTGTATGCATAAATAACTTAAAGTCCTCATGTAATCGAACATCTGCTCATCTGAATAACATAATCCCTCACTCAGCATGACTCTCTGGCACTCTAGTTCTGACTGTATGCATAAATAAATAAATAAATCTTTAAAAAAAAAAAAAATGTCCTCACACTGACATTTCGGAAGTTCTATCTTCTAAAAATCTTTAAAAAGGACTAAGCTATCTTCTAGTTAGCTACTGAGATGGGGATTAATTAGAAGTCTAAAATTGTTACCCAAGCTTATATTATTTTGGATCCTAAAAAATGTTTAAAGCACTCCATTTTGAACAAGAAATATTGGAACTGGATTGTTTTTATTTCTCTCTGACAGTAACCAAAAAGTAATTTAAAGCACTCATGTTTTTTTTAATTTAATTTTTAATATATTTTTTACATCATTGTTCATTTTTAAATGCTTGTTTCCCCCCCTCAGGTTTAGTCCCCATAGAATTTCCTTCACCAATGCACCCACGCACCATCACTACAGTCTCCTATTAAAGAACTCATGTTTAAATTATCTGAAAAATGATTTTTAATAATTGTATCTTATTTTTGTTAATATGAGAGAGGTTAGACTATAGACTAATTTATTTCTGTATTTTTAAAATCTACACATATAAGTATTTTGGTAAATATAAAAATTGAAAGTAAATAAAAAAATCTCAGTGAGGTATAATCCATTAATAAGATGGGTTCAGCACTATTTACAATAGCTAATCTTTGGAAACAGCCCAAATGCCCAAAAATAGATGACTGGATCAAGAAGATGTGGTACATATATACCATGGAATATTACTCAGCATTCAAAAAAGATAAACACATGCAATTTGCAGCAACATGGATGGCGCTGGAAGGGATCATGCTCAGCGAAATAAGCCAGAAAGAAAAAAGAAAAATACCGGATGGTCTCACTCATAGCAGGAATCTAGAAAACTTAAATAAGGGACCAGGAAAATGAATAACTATAAGAAAGTGAAAATCAAAATCAACAAAAACTATGAAACAGAGACACTTTTTGTGGGGTGGGGGGGGGGGGAGGGATTGGTGTCAGAATGGGGGGGTTGCAATTGTATGGGGAATATAAAAATAAAATTTATTATTTAAAAAAAATAAGATGGGTTCATGACTTGATAAAAAGTAAACTTTAATATTTGAATAAGAACATGTAAACAAAATTTCTGATTTTCTTTGACATTCTATTCAATTTAAGTAGAAATAAATTTATATAATAAAAAGCACTACATACCCAATAAGTAGATATGTTATAACATATCTATAACTATATATATTATAATACACTATGGTATATATTACATTAGAATATATTATATTTAGAACAGATTTATTATGAAAGTATTAAGGACAGAGAAATTCATTTTGCCTAGAAATGTAAGGTAAGACTTCAGAAGGAGGTTTTCTTTTTCTAATGGAAAAGAAGTGAAGAATATTTGAAGTAATGAGATTAGCATCTACAAAGACTATATGTAACTAATCTCTCCAGGAAAGAGCAAATGGCAAGAATATGGAAAAAATAGGTATAAAATTCTAACATGAAGTAGAAAAATTCAGCTGTTGCTACTGTGAAGTGTCTTCAAATTTCCACTAAAAGAGTACAAAATACTCTAGCAAGTAATATGGAAAATTACTTCATAAAAATATCTATGTGAAAAATACATTTTGCAGGCAACATAAAGATGAGATCATGAATAGAAGATAAAACAAATTGAAAATAGAATCATATATACAAGTTGCATTTTTTAGTTCCACTAATACCTATGTTGTAGGCATTATTTCCCACCCAGAAAAAAAAAACTCTTCTCCATTTGATATTGATTCTTTTCCATAAAATATGATGTTTATGAGCATATTTAAATTCTAGAAATCTCTTTGAAGTCAGTTAAGCAAAATAAATAAGATCTCATGTACTTAGTTAATCATCTAATTAAATGTCTTATTATTTCTTCAGGGAAAAAGTAAATACAAAATAATATAAAAGTGGAATTATAAAAAGTAGAAGGAAAATAATTGGCACAAATATCTGACACTAACCAAGTTCTTGGCAATATCACTTAGGTAAAATGGGTCCTATTTTGTATTTGTAAAATAAATAGGTCAATTAAGGCATCAAAGTTTCATTAAGATTTAAATTGAACACATGATCACTATTTTCTTAAATCAACTATTAGTGTGCATGTTAACTACATTTACTTGTTTATGTAAAATATTTTACTTCACCCAAACAGCAGCAAATAGATCCTTGAAACTAGTTCCAAGTTCCTGATCTTTAAGTATGTCAAGCTGAGGCTCTTTCAGTTTGGCAGCTTTTATCTTTGCTGTACCTATATGTTAACAAATAAACAAATCTTATGTTTAAATAGCTAAAATTCATATGTAAACATTATACATTTTAATAAACAAGTGACTTATTTTTGAATAAACTAAAGTTAATCTAATTAAGTAAAAGTCACATTCTTCTAAAACAATCCTGTGCTATAAACATTCTATGATAATGAAAAATTTTACATACAGGCACTGTCCAATATTGTAGTCACCATATATAAGTGACTGTTAACTACTTGAATCCAGCTCCCATGATTGGGTATATGGATTCTTAATTTAATTTAAATTAAATATAATTAAATTACATATGGGTGCAACTACAGCATTTGATAGTACAACCCTAAAATATAAAAGACTAATTTTTTTGATATTATTAAAAATATTTTATGCCAATCAGATATAGTACTTGATATTTCTAATGTTATATGTATTTTTCAATGTTTCCAAAAGCATTTAACAGTTTATTATTTCATCTTATAGCAATTATATGAGGTAATATATTTATTAAATAATGGTAGGCAAATGTATGTAAATTTGCTTTTTAAAGAAAACTTATGAAGTCTATATAAAGAATTTTTTTTCTAATGACAACAAAAATATGTATTAATGAAAGTTTGATACAAAAATTAAATAATATTTGGCTGAATGTGGCTTAATTTGTTCAAATAATACTAGAACATGACACTTATTTCCATGATAGAAAGAAATGTAGTTCATTCCTATTCTGAGAATGAAAGATGGGAATAAGGGTGCAAAAAAAAATCTACTACTATCTTTTTAATGAATTACATTTTTATAGTCACCTCGTATACTGGGTGGAAAGCACAACAATGGTATTAATGTAGACCATGAAGTAACTGAGACAATCATATAGTTAAGCCACCAAGACTGATGCCAGTGTTGAGTACTACTGTTGTTTCCACTGCTTTAATAGAGAAAAATGAAAGCACAAATACAAATTTTTATTTATATATTTATAAACAATTAGCATATTTTATTACAAACAAAGCCAATCAGAGACAGTGAAATAAAAATAGTAAATTCTGTTATCTTTTTCCTATTTATTTTCCTGAGAATGTGTGGTTGTTACTTCAATTATGTATTCTCTTTTTACTGAGAGTTTCCTTAATTTTTTCCCTTTTCTTTTCCTTTTATTCCCATTTTGACTTAAATGTCAATGAGTAATTCTTTGTTCCTTTTTATCTGTTTTCTCCAACAGAAATTATATGCTTGGGAAACCATTCCTCATAATCTCATTTTTCCTTTAAGATCATCCCTGCCCCTTTAAGTCATGCACCTAGTTCTTTAAGACAAGCTTGGCACTCTAAATTGCATAATCTGTTATCTTATAACTAACCCTTTAAATCACAAATACATTAAGAGCTTTCTTATAGTCTCTTCTTTGAACTCTCAGATTGATCATGAATTACCCTTCCAGTGATCATTCCTAAGGATCATTCCAGCTTTAGGATCCTTGGTTACCCTCTGTCTTCTAACTTCCTTGTAATTTTTTTTTGGCGTGCTTTTGCAAGCCAAAAAGCCTTCAGTGGAAAGGGTTGGGTAGCAACATGAAGGATCATCTGCTGTGATTTGTTTTCTTTTTTCTCACAATTATTTTACAGATCAGCATTTCTTTGCCTTCAAAATACCTAAAGCCATGATTTTGTGGGGAATTTTTAGAGCTGTGAAGTTAGCTTGCATTGTTTAGGTAGGAGATTTGTGGAAGTTGATTACTAGACAGCCAGCATTGCTATCATTTCCTCACACTTAATATCTCGGCCATCTAGCCATTGTGGGAAATGCCTGGAATCTCCCGGAAGTGCACTTTTTTAAAGAGTGCTAATTTCTCATGGTTAGTGTGTTGCCAGCAGAGACCTGATAAGTAGCTTATTTATAAGTCTGTGCTTTAATAGAACATGAAGAATATTTCCAGTTTTATTCATCAATGGTACAACTCCTTTGATGTTATTTCATTATTTCAATTTTGTTACATATTTTCAATTTCCGATGATATGGGAGTGTAACCTTGATTTCTATAGACATATCCTGTAGACACATATATATCAATATGCTATGTCCAGTGAGTTTCTTCTCTGGATTATCACTATGGTTATGTGTTTCTTCATTACTTACAATAGTCAGATTTTTTTTCTTTATTTGTTTTGGAGCCTAGCTATATGTTCTTTTCATTACACTCTTTATAACATGATATTTACATATGTGCAGATAATTGAGCACCTAGAAGTTCGAGGAAAATAAATTAAAAAAAAAACCCTACAAAGTACAAGCAAATAATTTAAGTGTGCTTTATAAATATAAGAAAAACTTAGAAATTAGTAGATTTTCCCTCTACTAGAAATGATTTAAGAGAAAATATTTTAATATAAGGATGTTCCACATAATAGTAACAGAATATGTGAAATTACTAGGAATAATTTAATAAAATATCTTCAATTGCACAAATTCATAAAACTCTTGCAGATCATTAAGGAAAGAACAGAGAAAATAAAGCAACATACCACAGTGTATGGAAAGATAAAAATTATTCTCAATTTAACACATAAATTCAAGTATCAAAATGTTTTGAGTATAACTTGAAATCTATCTATTAAATCTATCAAGAGTAACTGCAAAAATAGCTTCACTTTTGATGAAGAATAATGAGTGGAGAATTCCACAAACAAATAGCAAATAATATGATAAAGTTTTAGTTATTTTTATTAAAATATTGTATTGACCAAAAACTATGTAAATAGGAAATTTATTACAGAGAAGTTGTTTAATATCAATAAAAATAAATTAATTTTTAAAAGCCATGGAATAATAAATGTCATTAGTACAATTATGTCACCCTTTGAAGGAAAAGAAGCTTGATCTATGCCTTATAATCTATATATAAAAATTAAAAGTTAAATTTAATTGTATAACCAAAACCAGACAAAACCACTACAAATAAAGAAAATAACAGTCTAGTATCCCTGATGAACATAAATACAAAAATCCTCAAGAAAATATTAGCAAACCTAATTCAGCAATACAGTAACAGAATCATACACCACAATCAAGTGGGATATAGTCTAGGAATGTGAGGGTGGCTCAACATCTGCAAATCAAGCAATGTTATATGCTACATTAACACGTGAAGAATAAAATCATATGATCAAGTCAATTAAGAACCAAGAGGAAAATGCATACGTTGTGCAAAAATAAAAAATGATATAAAATATATAAAATAAAATAAAAAAAGCAATGGAAGATAGAAGGCAACAAAAATGTTTTCAAAATATTAATGGATTTTGAAATATCTTAGAATAAATTAATTAAAGAATGAGGATAGAATAAAACGTTCTCAAACATGTAAAGTCAAAAAAAAAAAAAAAGAAGCACTTGACTAAAACTGTCATTGACCCCTGATAAAAGCTCTCAACAACGTGTGTATAAGAAGATATATCTAACACCATACATAAAAATCAATTCAAAATGGATAAAAGATAAAGTTGTAAGGCCTGAAACCATAAAATCCATTGAACAAAAGATAGGCAAAGCATTTTATGACATAAGCTTCAGTGATGTCTTTAAGGATTCATCCCAATAGTAAGGAAAACAAAAGAGAACATAAACAACTCAAACTGTATCAAACTAAAAAGCTTTTGCACAGTGCAAGAAACCATAACTAAAATGAAGACACTATACTGAATGGGACACAATGTCTACACTTCATACATCTGACAAGGAACCTAAGATCTATAAAGAACTCATATAACTCAACAAGAACAAAACAACCCTATCAAAAAATAGAAGAAATAGGGTCTCCCTGGTGGTGCAGGTGGTTAAGCGCTGCACTGTGAAGCTGTCCGGAGCCTCTGCAGCACCAGTTTGATCCCGGCTGGCCAGAGAGATAACCACACGGTGCAGCAGACCACTCCTGTCTTGCCCACTGCTCCCCTGCAGTGTATTTCAGTCTTTCTGCCTGTTCTGCTCCCCACTCTGTCTCTGGTGAATCCGCTCACCCTCCGTGCCTCTGGCCTGTACCCCGGTTCTTGTATAAATAAATAAATCTTAAAAAAAAACCTATAAGGGAATCTTGTTTAAAAAAAATATATATTGTTTAAAAAAAAATCTTGTTTTAAAAAAAAAGACACTTCTTCAAAAAAGACAAAGACTACAAAAAGGGACATGAAAAAAAGTTTCGTCATCACCTATCATCAGGGAAATGCAAATCAAGACCACACATGTGAGAATGGCCCAAATCAAAAATTGCAGAAACAAGTGCTGGTGAGGATGCGGAGAAAAGGAACCCTCTGTAGATAGGAATTCAGACTGGTCTAGTCCTATGGAAAGCACTATGGAGGAGTCTCAAATGTTAAAAATGAATCTGCCATATGACCCAGCAATTCTGCTCCTAGACATCTACCAAAAATTTCAAAATATTACTTCAAAAGGAAGCTCGCACTCCCAAGTTTTTTGCGGCACTATTTACTATTACCAAATTATGAAAACAACCTAATTGTCCCCAAAATAAATGAGTGAATCAAGAATATGGGGTATATTTACACAATGGACTATTACTCGGCAGTCAAAAGATAAATTCATGCCATTTGTGGCAACATGGATAAAGTTAAAAGTGATGATATTAAGTGAAATAAGCCAGAAGAAGAAAGATAAATATCAGATGGTATCACTAATATGTGTAATACAGGGTAACTGAACTAAGCGTCAGATAAAGACAAGCTTAAATGTTAACCTTTGAAAGCTGACTACAAAACTGAAGCATCCAGAGGTTGGAGGGGTAAGAACAAAGAGGGAAGGAAGCACAGTGGACAATGCAGGTGGGTTATATGATGCGATATCTGATGGGAGCATCCAAATATTACCTCAATTAAAAATTGATTAATTCAAAAATAAAAAAAAAAACAGCCTTAGCAGTAAGAACCTAGCAAAAGGGGAACAGCCAGGGAAGGACCATATCTCAATATAATAAAGGTGATATGGGACAAGCTCCCAGTTAACATCCTATTCAATGGTAAAATGTTGAAAGCTTTTCCTGTAAAATCAAGAACAAGACAAGGATGCCCAAGCTAATTTTTATTCAACATAAAACTGAAACTACCAGTTAGAGCAATTAGGAAAGCAAACCTCATAAAAAAAAATCCAAATCAGAAAGGAATAAGTAAACTGACTCTTTTTTAACATAACATGATATTACCTATAGAAAATCCTAAAAGACTTTACAAAAAATCTGTTGAAGGGTCCAAGCTATAACATCATTCTATCAAGCCATTTATTTCTGGATAATGAGGTGCTGAGTAAGACCAGAGAATCCTGAAGTAATATTGTCTCATTTCCTTTGTCTTATTATAAGCAATCTAATCAGTGGCAATATTGTATGAGAAACTACAGGAATGAACACGGTATCCATAAGTCTTTGAAGGGTGATCCAAACAGAGCACTGTAGGTAGATATTCTAGACTGACTGTTTGTGTCCCCCTCCAAATTCATATGTTGGGATCCTAACCCCCAGTATGATGGTATATGGAAAGGGCACATTTGGAGGTGTTTATACCCTGAGGGTAGAGCTAAATGAATGTGATTAATGACTTTATAAAAGAGATCCTACAGAACTTTCATGATCTTTCATCCATGTAAGAACAAAAGGAGAAGATTACAGTCTCTGAACCAGAAAGTAAGATCTCACAAGGCACCAATTTTCCTGACCTCTTGACCTTGGAATTTCCAACTGCCAGAACTGTGATAAATAGGTTTTTGTTGTTAATAAGCTCTGTCTATGATAGTTTTGTTATAAAGTTTTCATGAATTAAGACAAAAATTCCTTCTGGGGTTTGTATTTTCCCCTGTCAAGACAAATATCCTCTGTGTTAAAATGCAATTAAACTGATGACATTTTGTCTCCCAGTAACTGTG